TCTTCACTTAGGTATTCTGTAATATTGAAGTGCCAAACTTGGCAGGCATATTCGAGTACTGGTCTGATAATGGTGCAGTATACCAAAATTAGAATGCTATTGTCGGCATTTGATCGTTTTAAAAACCTTAGCATATAAAGGCGTTTTCCCGCTTTTTTAACAATATGGTTCACATGCTCGTTCCATTTCAAATCATCTTGGATTGAGAGACCAAGAATTCGGGCAGATTTTACCCGCTCAATACCAACGTTATTTATAGTTAACGGTAGAAACTCATGTTTTTCTCTTGCAAAGTCAATTACCATTTCCTTACATTTGCCGATGTTGAGCTTAGGTAAAAGTGATCGAGAGTTCGCTGTTTTAATCATAAAATGGATTTCTATTTGACAACTAGTGCCAGTACTTTTCCGCGTATCAAGATCATCTGGCCTATGAATAGTATAAGATTTCAAACATCTATTTTCAAGCTTTGTGGGTAGAATTTACTATGGCTCGTAATCAGAGCTTTGTTTGTGGTGTTGTTTATAGACAACATAATGATCCAACCAAATTCCTAGATTATTTAAGTGAAACTTTATATAACTTTAATCAATCCTCTAAAACTGTTTGCATAATGGGCGATTTCAATATTGATCTACTTAAGTATGATACATGCACTTATAGTAAGGAATTTTTGCACTACTTGTACAGCTCTGCTTTCTTCCCAACAATTTCCAAACCCACTAGAATTTATGGGGAATCCACAACTCTCATTGATAATATTATTTTAAATAAGCCAGAATACGATTTAGTGACGGGAAATATCGTATCCAATATAAGTGATCATTATACCCAAGTATGTCTTTTAAATAATTGTGAAGTAGAATATTGTGCAAGACAAAAGAAGAACAGAGATTATTCTAAATTTGGCCAGAAGGAATTTTTGTCTGAGGTCCAGTCTATTGTCGAAACCGTTTTAGTGCATAATTCATCAACCAATGTCAATACCTTGTTTAACAGGTTCTATAAAATGCTACTGAAAATTGTAAACAAGCACGCACCATTAAAGCCATTGTCTAAACGTAAAGAAAAACAACTTTCTAAACCTTGGATAACAAATGGAATCAGAAGAGCAATTAAAATAAAAAACAAATATTATTTAAATGGTGAGCGTGATAAATATAAATATTACCGAAATAAAATTTCGAAACTCTCAAGACACAGTAAGTCCTTATACTATAATACTTTTTTTGAGTCCAATTTACATAATTTAAAGCAAACATGGAAAGGAATAAATGAATTAATATCCGCTAAGAAGAAAAGCAAAAGCAACACCATAAATTCTATTAATAAACCAAACTGTAATATTAAAACCACCAACCAACATCAGATTAGTAATATACTAAACAAGCATTTTGCTACCATTGGGTACAATTTAGCTAATAAATTCTTAAACTCTCCGCTGAGTCCCTTTGACACTTATTTAGGTGACCCCATTTTGAACTCATTTTACTTCAATGCAGTCTCGTCATATGAAATTCAACATATTCCTGAAAATAAATCGTATGGTCTATATTCTTGCCCAGTTTTTATTTTAAAACTTTCGAGGCATATTCTCTGTCCTATTTTAGCAAACATTATTAATCTCTCAATTGAGACCGGTATATTTCCGTCAAAACTGAAAAAGGCAAAGATCAATGTGATCCTGACAACTACAGGCCTATTTCTCTTTTGTCAGTTTTTAACCGCATTTTTGAAAGGGTAATGTATTCTAGATTAATCTGTTTTATAGACAAACATAAAATACTTTCTCCTGCCCAGTATGGATTTAGGAAAAATCATTCCACACAGCATGCTATTATTGATATTGTGGACAAAATATGCAAGAATATGGAGTCCAAGAAATTTACCTGTGGTATATTTGATTTGAAAAAAAGCATTCGACACAGTCGATCGTTCTATTTTACTGAGCAAATTGAATCATTATGGAATACACGGCCTAATTCATGATTGGTTCAACTCTTACTTGAGTGATCGATCTCAAACAACCTCAATCGGCAATTGCACTTCCGAAGTTATTACTTGTTCTTATGGAGTTCCTCAGGGGTCTGTTCTAGGACCACTGTTGTTTCTCCTTTACATTAACAATATAACATCCTCTTCTGACAAATTTGAATTTTGTTTATTTGCTGATACTAGTATGCTTTACCCTCATTGTGACATTCATGCACTTGAGCGTATTGTGAATGACAATATTTGTTTATGGCTGGAGGCTAACAAATTAACACTAAATATTAGTAAATCAAACTATGTTATTTTCCACCCATATCAGAAAAAAACAAATTACAATCCTCAAATAATTGTCTGATTCAAATTCCAAAACATTCTTACCATTGCAAATTAAATCCAATGTCAAATATCTTGGATTGTTTATAGACTCAAATCTAACATGGAAAGTTCATATTGACTATATCTCACTAAAGATTAGTAGAGCTGTTGGAATCATTGCTAGACTTAGACATTTCGTACCTAAACACACGTTGCAAAGGATTTATTATGCTCTGCTTCATCCATATTTAAATTATGGCATATCAGTTTGGGGTCAAGCGTGTAAAACGCATCTCCACCACCTTCTCGTCCCCCAGAAACGGGCTATTTGACTAATGAATTTTGCAAATTTTAGAGAACATGCTGTACCGCTTTTCAGTGCTTCCGGAATACTTCCAGTTAACTTTCTGTATTTTTACAATGTTGCTTGCAATATGCATGACATTATAAATGAAAGGGCGCCCATCAACATGTCATCATTCTTCACTACTATTAGTGAAAATCACAACTACAGGGTGTATCAATAAAAACGCAACCTTGGAATTTCCTAAGAAATCACTTTGCAATTCTTAAGCATAAAAGATTTTAGGCCCCTGGGAATTGAAATCGAATTGCTAATAGATCATATTACTGTTGTTGTGCATTAAATAAATGCATAAATTTTGCTTTATGCACTCGCGTGTGCAGTAATTTTGACAGTTATGCTATTTTAAATTCCCAGGCACCTAAAATCTTTTGTCTTTAAAACAATGTCGATTTCTTGGGAAATTCCGAGGTTGCGCTTTTTTTGATACACCCTGTATAATACAAGATCTGCTGTTCGCGGTAATCTTTATCAAACTAAATCAACGTTGCATATTACACAAAAATCCTTTGCTAATGCTGGTGTTAAAGTTTGGAATGCTCTATCTATCTCACTCCGTTCGTTAAATAAACATAGTTTTACAACACGTTGCAAGATCATTCTTATCAATACCATGATGGCTTGTGATGATTACGTTGATTTCGCCACAATATTGCAAACAGTTTCGGGATGTAATTAGGCAATTTTGTTTTTGTTTTCAATATTTCCTTCCTATTTGAATTACGATAATTTATACTATTAAGATAAATTGATACACTATTTATCAATCAATTGAAAGCCACCTACCTCGAATAGCTTGCTAAATGTAGGTGGTTTCTTGTAAATTATTTTGAAAAATTTATTTAATAAGTAGTAGTAGTAGTAGTACCCAAGTTCCAAAATACCCCTGAGTTTGCACAAGTTTACATTTTATTCAGCTCATGTTTAGGCCAAATAAAAAAAATACTTGGTTAGCGTCACACTCTCACAAATTTTCAGAGGCGGGCGGGCGGATTTTTTTTTTAATTTTTACTCGTTTATCAATTTTTTAATAGTATTTTTGGAGGGGATGGGGGCGGTTTTTCCACCATATCGGTGATATTTTTTGTACTGATGTTGTGAAGGCCGCCATTTTGCTTTAAGAACCTTGTATACCCAAGCCTACGCACTCCTATCGATCAGTATACAGCGCGAAGGTCTGAGCATGAGAAAAATTTCAAATATTAAACTGTTTTAAGCTGTAAAACGAAGAGATTTACATAAAAAAAAATTTAAAAAAATTCAGAGGCGGCAGAAAATCGAGAGGCGGGCGGTGACGCTAACCAAGTATTTTTTTTTATTTGGCCTTATCAATATTCCAATATCATCAAAAATAATATTATAATGGTATGCAGTGCTGTAATAGTTACTTATTTTTTGTAACTAGTTACAGTTACAGTTACATCATCAGAAAAGTAACTAGTTACCAATACAAGTTACAATTGAAAAAAGTAACTAGTTACAGTTACTAAGTTATTTTAAAATTTTTGTAACCAGTTACAGTTACAATGGCAAAGTTACATCCATTCTTTTGGCTAATAGAATTGAGAAAACATGTTGTAAGTTAACTCATTAACGCCCAATGCGCCCGTATGCGCCCTGAGATTGACAAGTGGGTAACGGACAATGCGCCCGAATGCGCCCTGGCACGACACCTTAACTTGCGGGCATGATATTTGAGCACGTGTTTATCGGGTTGCCTAGCAACGAATACGAAAATAGAACGTGAAATTCGAGCTTTTCAACGGTGTATCATGCAAGAAAATCGGTCAGAAACTCGCAAAGTTTTTCAAGTTTAAAATCTTAGTTTTCCAAAAATAATGAATAATGGCGATTCTGTTACAAAGGAAGATTTTACAGCAAGTTTTAAAAGCAAGAAAAGAAGAGGTTTCTGAATCAACTACAACGAAAATTTGGCATGAAAGGAAAGCGAATGTATTGACGTTTTGGGGCCAAGTTTTTCTGTGAACCATGCGCGAGATTTTCAGCCAAAAAGATGAGGATTTCTCCAAACTTTATTAAAAAATAGAAGTCGGAAATCACAAGAAAGATGAACACGGAACACAAGTGAGCAGATACAATTTTTTAAAGGGTATTTTTGAGTAGAAATATGCGATCAAACACTCACAAAATTCGACTGCATTAATGTTGGTTGAATCTAGTTTAAAGTTATCTTTTTAGACGAACTGTTTATGCAAATTTGGGCACAATTTCGACTGTTTTCGTAACCCCATTGTTGGTCTTCTTGTTCAACTTGTTATTTTAGCTAAAGTATGTTTCAAACGACACCAGATTAAATTACTGTGTGCGTACGTGCCCTATTTGGCAAGAATACTTCGAGTATTAAATTACACTAAGTAAGTAGGGTACTCCAAAATCACTGTTATATCTATTTTCATCCATT